ATCATTCATTCAAGTTAATTATGGAAAAAGTAAAGAATGATTCGATTTCTGTTTCCTTAACATGCGATCTTTGGACTGGAAAGAACCGACAAGGATTCTTGGGTATAACATGCTCATATATAGATTATGAATTTTATCCTCATGAGATTACACTTTCTATCGACTATATTCGTTATCCTCATACAGCTGAAAATATTAGTGATGCTATTCTTTCATTATTAGATGAATGGGAATTACGTGATAAGGTTTTTATGATAACTACAGATAATGGTAAAAATATGCAAAGAGCTATTAAAGATTTGAAACAATCAGCAAAAAATATAACTTGGCAACCATGCGTGGCACATACTCTTCAATTAATAATTGGTAAAGGATTAGAACCAGCTAAAATTCTAGTTGGACGTGTTAAACGGTTAATAGATTTTTTTTTAAGACCAAAACAATCTGAACGTTTGGAAGATATACAAAATCGATATAAAAGATCTAACGAGGTTTATAAATTTTTTTATATTTATTTTAATTAATTAACTATATTATTATTTTACTAATTTTTTTTTTATATTTTAGGAATATTCTATCGTATGTTTATTTAAATTTTTTTAAATTTTGCAAATTTAATATAAATTATTAATTAATATTTTATTTTAGAATGCCGGAAAAACATCAAAATATCTTAGACATGTAATTGCAGATGTATCAACCCGTTGGAACTCCAGTTATCTAGCATGGTGTCGTCTTCTGGAATTGGAAAGATATATTCGTATATTAGAATCAGATTTAGCTGGAGATATGGATACAAATTCTAAGAAAGATTCTCAACATTTAACCAAGATAATGTTAACAAATGATGAATGGATATTACTTCGTGAATTGATTCCAGTATTGGGTCCCTTTGAAGAAGCAACACGATATCTTGGTGGTAGCAATTATGTTACATATAGTATAATGAATCCTATAATGATACATATTATTGACAAGCTTAAACCCGCATCAGTATTGGAGGAAATAAATGTCGAAAGTATAAAGGATATTTTTTCTAAGCTTGAAATTGATGATGATGAGAATGATTTACAGAATCTTGACAAGCCTATGCAAACATCTGGAGTTTTGGAAAGAGTTAAGGAAACATTATATCGTGCAATGCATTTTTACTGGAAAAAAGATAATAACGAATCATATTTACCTTCCATTCTTGACCCTCGGGTTAAAAAGTTTGATTTTGCGCTTGATAAAACAAAACAAGTTCAAGATTTGTTAAAAACTAAATATCATGACGCAAAAGATAAATTATCAACAACTTCAACATCCATTACTTCTTCAACATCCATTATCTCTTCAACCTCCTCCTATATTCATAATACCCAATCCGTTTCTTCTCTTTATAAACCAACATTGTTTAATGTTTTTAACAATTTATCATCTCTTAATACACAAAGTGAACTAGATGAATATCTTGCAGTTCCGCAGATACCTTTTGAATCAGACCCATTCATATGGTGGAAAGTTAATAAAGAAAGGTTTCCTATATTAAGTCAATTAGCACGTACTTACCTTTTTATCTCAGCGACTTCAACCCCTTCTGAAAGATTATTTTCTGATTGTGGAAATATTATGGGTCCTAAGAGAATGCGTATGAGTCCAGAGTTTTTTAAGAGATTAGTTTTTCTAAAAAGAAATTATAATATTTTAGATAGCATACATCCAGTATTATAGTATTTTAATTTATCTTAGATATTAATAAAATCGAAGTCAATAAGAATGAAAACGATAACTTAAAGTATTCGAATAATATAAAAAATCAGTTATTAGTAGTGATAATGGAATTTGCGATATCATAGAGTTGAAAAGGATATAAACATAAGGTATTCGAATAATATAAAAAATCGACTGTTAGTGATAATGATGGAATTTGCAGTGTTATAGAGTTTAATAAGAATAAATGTAAAAATCGGAATACCTGGTGTCATGATATGAAGAAGGAATTAGAGTTAAATAATAAGCCGAGATATAAGGTGTTGATAGAACGTGCGGTGTTTTATTAAAAAAATATATATACGTACCAATTATGCTGAAATTAGATTGTTTTTTAAAATCGTTTCTTGACGAATATTTAGAATTTTGCTAAATAAAATTTCTTACCTTATAAATCTTAACTAAGACTATAAAACAATAGACTTTTTTTACGAAATTCTAAATGTTTACCGAAGAGTTACAATCTTTAGATAATTTATAACTATAATAACTACGATAACTACAGAAACTATACAAATTATGCGGATTGCCAATCAATCCGTATGGATACGGATTTGACTTTGTGTAATCCGTATTATACGGATTTAAACAGTTCGTATCACTAATATCAACATTACGAAGTTTATGCACATAAGCATAGTCAACACGACCCGATACGTCCTCACCAGAAACATCTTTTTGATTTGCAATATAATTTTTCTTCTTTCATAAGCTTTCAGACGATTACTATAAACAAAGAAAATTCTCCTGATCGCGAACATGTGAAAATATCACATACTTGGAATAAATTGTTTAATGCACGTAATATCCTCCTCGTTGACCTTATATTTACGAAGCACGTCCTCGGTTCTTCCAACGTTTATGTGACGAGAAACTTCAAAATTTTTCTGCTAACTCTTTGATAAAATCTATTAGAACGGTTGCCGGTACCCTTTAAACCCACAATCTTTAAGATCTTGTTTGATTAAGTAAGAACATAAATTCTTTCATTGCGTAGTAAAGATAAGGAAAAAAATTTTTTGTATGTGAATCAGTGGCCTTTTTAATTAATATTCTCAAAGACCCCAAATAAAAGACGAGGTGTTTTACTTACCTCATGTATGCAGACGAATTTGTAGTACTTCTAGGAAAATGGAAACCATTATAAATTCGAAGCAAAAAATTTATTAAAATTTAAAATAATAAATCAAAAATTAAATTAAAAAAATATATAAAATATACAGTATTTTATTATAAAAAAAAACAAAAAATATTTATTATAAAATTACAAAAAAATATTTATTATAAAATTACAAAAAAATATTTATTATAAAATTACAAA